GCCAGCACGTACCCACAAACAACAAGGCCCTGCTTTAAACAATTGAAAATGTAATAAAAAAGAATTAAGCACTCTTTGGAGCTTCTGAGAGTCACCACACTCTTTCTTCTTACTACTTGACGAGAATTTGAGACAAGTTTGTTTTGTCTGGAAACACAGCAAAGAGCCTAAAGCCAACAGATTATGGAATAAAAGTAAGTAGGGAGCCAAACCCACACGGCAAGAGAGTGATACTGTAGGTTGCAGTGGTGTTGAACTAACATTGCTGAAAGCATAACCCACGTTGCTGGAAGGTGAAGGACTTGAACCAGAACTCTGCTGTTCTTAGGCAGTGAGACTTGTGGGAGTCCCAGTCATTCTCACAACCTCTCACTCTCACAAGGATGAAGCTGGCCTGGGTGAAAAGAACAAAGGAAACAGTGGTGCTGACCTGAGAACACACCACCCTCACATTCATACTTACCTTTGCATTCAGCAAAGCTTCAAAGCAGACAGAGAGACTGCTCTTGTTTAGAAATCCAAATTTAGACATCCAAATGCATAACAAAGAATCCAAACATCTAACCTCAATTGAGAATGCTGCTGCCACTCCCATTTAAATTCCACTCCCATTTTAATTCCAGAAGCTCTGGCATACTCACACTGTTGAAATTAGGCATTTATGTAACTGTCCAAATAAAAATTTAAAGACTAAACAAAAAAGCCTTAACCCTGAGATCAGTTTGTTAACTAAGTAACAGTCCTCTCTGCCTTGTAGCTTTTTTTTTTTCTCTTAAATGATCAAATTACAAGCGTTATCCTCCATCACTCACTCAGGATTCAGGCTTGAGCTAATTGCAGAGGATACAAAGCAACTGTTACAGGGACCTGACAGCAGTGGGCAACAGGAAAATCAATCCTGCCTTTGCACAGCTGACACAGATTGGAGGTAAATTTTTAAATACTGAGACATCTTTGGATTCTGCAATAAAGAGAGAAAGCACTGGAACTGCCAGGGTCCATGTCCCAGGAAGCCTTTTTACAAGAGTTGCACAGACTGCGGGTGAAGAATCTGGTGTGGTACCCAGGGAACACAAACAGCCTGAGCATCTGGAGGAGCTCAGACCCACAAAGCAACATCTGGGAGAGCTTACATCCCCTTAAAGAATCAAATTTTAAACCTTTTGTGCACCTTGATTTAGGAAAACAATGAGACTCTACCGGTAATCAGCAGAGAACGACAGACACATTCAGCAAGCACATTGCTCCTGCCCATGAACAGCCCTCTGGGGGAACCCACCAGGACAGAAGAGGTGAAGCCTCTCTAACTAATTTGGATTGTGCAAGCAATACTTAGTTAAAATTACTGCATGAAAGATCAGCTTGCCTATCTGTGCAAAGATGAGACCAAGGCTGAAGCCCCATCAAGGATCTTTAGTGAGAACCTGGCTCAAAACCCATCCACTCTCAGTAACCTTCTCATGTACCATGAAAATCTTGAACATTTTGCAACACAAACAGTAAAACTTGTTTAATAGCCATGCCAGCTTTCAGACCCTCCCAGCATGCTACAAATGCTACAAATGAACAAAATAAAACAAATTAGGGGTGGCTCTAACTAAATGCCAATTACAGCAAGAAGAAATTCAATCTGCAGGAGCAAGTAACAGCCCTTTCTTCTTTTTTTCCCTACTGTCTTTATGCTTAAAACTAAAATAGTCAATATACATTTAATGCATGGAATCCCTGCAGTGATATGTACTTGATAATACTTGACACAAGGGCCTGGGCTAAGTCTCAGCAACAATAGTTATTTACCAGACACAAATATCCCATCGGTGTGAAATGAAAACCTGCACAAGTGACACAGAGAAAAAAAACACTGTCCTGGAGTTCACAAGGCAGAAGCACAACTGTGAAATTATTCTGGCAGACACTGGCACAGCTAATAACATGATCCTTTCAATCACACACATTAGATTGAAATGTGTGTAATTTGTGGCATCTGTAATTTGTGAAAACTCCCAATCTGCCACTTCATTCTTAGGACATGAGGAGGAAGCAAGCCTGTACTCTGCCTGTCTGCACATAGCTTGGCTCAGCAGTGTTTCTCACATCTTTTCCACCATTTCTGCTAGAATAGCAGGCAGGTAGTAGGGAGCAAGCAAGGAGGAAAGTAATTCCTGTTGCTCACACACATCAGGGGACAGCAGCAGAGGAATGCCAGGGAAAACAGCTTTTGTGAGATTCCACAACAACACCTTCAGAAATGCAGAAATTGTGATGCAGGTGCAAAGGTAAACCACTGGAACCATTTAAATGAACCTTGCATTGCTGAAATGCCAATTGTGCAAAACTGCTGATATTTCATTTTGATAGATATATTGCATCTGGTGTTTATGGCTTTGTGTTGTTGCCAGAGAGCCCCAGGAGCTTTGGTCTGGGAGCCAGGCCAGTCTACCAAGTCAGTTGGACTGTTGTGGATACACAAAGATCCAATCCTGCTCTGATTTAAAGCTTTCAGGCAGATTTTTCAGACTTTTGTTTTATTTATAGCTAGCATATGTGGAGAGAAATAAAACAGTCATTTAAAATGCTGTGCCACTGTGAGCCTATTTCTTCCAGTTTCATATTTCAATATCTTATTTTGAAGCACAGAGAACTGGAAATCTGGTAATTTCTACGTAAACATCCCTTTATGGATAGACAGAGATTCAGTCAGGGAATACCTCTCCATTAAGAAAGGAAAAGGCCAGATAGAGTTTTGTCACAAAAGCTGGAAATGTGACACTATTTATGCAGATGGTCATGGTCTCTGTTACAGCCATGTAGCAGTTAAGTGTTTTTCCTTCTCCCACTCCTTATGGCACAGATTCTTGCCCTTCTGTTACAGAAAGCTCTGATGTGTCAATAGAGATGCCCCAGGTATTCTGATCCTTCAAGTTTTAAGGTTTTCTTCCACTTGAAGGGATGCTCTCCATCCCTCCCCACAGAAAATCAAAAGAATTCTGATCATTAAATTGCTGAGAGATAAAAATTTTAAAACAGGAGGCTGCAGTCTAACAAAAATCAAACAGAATTAGTAAAAACAAAGAGTTTCTCTTCAGGGAATATTTTAAGTGTCTGCACAGACAAAAATATTAAACAAAAGTGTGCACAACTTTATTTTGTGGGGGCATGCAGAATGCTGGGCCATCTGTTGAAAATGGAAGGCTGCCAGATATCACAGAGTCACACCGTGAGTCTGGAAGCTGAGCCCACATGGCAAATCCATACATTTTTCGTGGTGTCTGCATGCCATCAGCCTTGCCTTTACCTACTCCTCAGTTTTACACTTTCCTGGCTGCTAAACTGGATTGCTTCAGTTTTTACAAGGGCAGAGCCCAATTCTGCAAAACACCACTGGCTGCTGCAGAGCTGCTGGCAGGACACCTGGCTGCATGCTTGAAGGTTTTCAGAACTGGGGAACATAAGACAAGCAGTATTAGGAAGATCAGGGTCCCCACTCAAAGGCATAACATTGTGTAGTTCAGGAAAAATCCTTCCATCTTTCATTCAGAAAAAGTAATCAAAAGGAAAATCCTTAAAGGCTGAACTTTTACATGCCACCAACTTATACCATGGAAAAAAAAAACTTGAGGCTTCCATGAATATCTGATTTAATCAAAACTATGCCCCTACTTTTGATTCACATAAGCCTGTTTCTTGTGCCTGAGCAGTTGAGAGTATGGGATGAGACCCTCCCTAACTTGTAGAGTGGTTAATCAGGTCAGGACCAAGGCAACAACAGTGAAACAAAATTTCTGGCAATCTCATTGAGATTCCTCACCTTGCCCCTTTCTACAGCAGAGAACTTTATGAACATATTGGCTAAACAGTGCAAAAGTCACCATTACAGTTGTTGAGCCTGAAAGGAAATAATTTCCAGCACCTGCTGGCAATTGCCAAGATAACTGATACCGACTGCGCTTTTTAAAGTCCAGAAACCCATCCGAACATTATTTCTGGCTTTCATGAAGTTTCCTCAAATATAAAAGTGATCCCTAAACTCTTCTATAATTTCAGTTGTTTTTTAATGCAGATTCCTGCTGGCATACCCATGTTTGGAGAAGTGCTTAGGAAAGTATCTGTTGTCAATACCACACCATTCACCAGCTCAAAAGCCAAATGGATTTCTCAGAACTCGTCCTTGTTTAGCCATCTTTCTCTGTAGTCCTCCCAGTGGGATAGAATGAAATTAAATTTAAAATAGGCTTTAAATTATTTAGTTGGAGATAATTGAGTTTGGAAAGTCATAGTGGAGCATGATCACTCTGGAAAGAAGCTGAACATAATTTGGGGTGGGGGAGCAGGAGAAGAGAGCTGGCATGCCCAGCCCAGTGAAGGTGTCCCTGCCCATGGCAGGGGGCTTAGAACACTGTGGTCTTTAAGTTCCCTTCCCACCCGAACCATCCTGCAATTCTATGTCATATTAGGTGCAGAATATCTCTCATAGTAAAAGGCACAAGCTGCTCTTTCATTTTGGTTGTGCAGAAAATAATTTCCTGCATGCCTAAGAATGGCATCCTTTTTTTTTTTCTCTTGAAGGAATCAGGCCCTAAGGTGATTGAAAAACTTGGAGAGCAAATTACCTCATTTCTAGAGGGCCTGTATTTTCCAAATAAAAGAAGCACAAGAAGTTGGGTTTATATTACTAATTTAGTGTGATTCCATGAAACCCCCAGTCAGGGACAAAGCTGACTGGGCTAGAATAGCTGTCTCGCTAAAACCACAGCTTTTAACTTCAGAGTAGCACACACAGATTTCCTTGAGGAAAAGGTATTTTCTGGCTCAGTTACACCTGCATCTCTCGTAAAAGGAGTCATTCATATGCACTTTAAGTGGCAACACAGAATGTTCACCATTCTTCCACTCCCGCCTCCCTCTCTGACCGCCACCGAGGACCATCACTCTTCCAGATTTATCCAGATGGGAGCAGAGCGCTTCTACAGCACCTTTCCTCGGGCCAACACTCCGGTTACCTTCTAAGAAAACCACAGAGCAGAAGAAAAAAAAAATCCCCTCGGACTGAAGCGAAACGAAGCACAGCGATGCCGGAACTGAGGGGAGCCGCTGGCACCCGCACCTCCCAGCGCCAGCGCACGGCCGCGGCACCTCGCTCGCCGCCGAGCGGGCTCCGTCCCGCCAAAGCCGCGCCCCGGTGCGCTCGGGGTCCGTCCCCGGGGCGGGGGCTCCGTTCCCCCCGCCCCAACCCCGGCCCCGCTCCCGCCCCAACCCCGGCATCGCCCCGGCCCCGTTCCGGCTCCGCTCCCCTGCGGGCCCCACCGCGCCTGCGCGGCCCCGCCGCGGCCTGGGCGCGATGGCGCGGCCTGAGGGGCCCCCGACGCTGCCCGAGCCCCTGCGGCGGCGGCTCGTCTCCTTCAGCAGCTCCGTGTTCAGCGACAGCCACCGCGCCGCGCTCGGCGACGTCCCCCGCGCCCCCCCGGGCTTCCCGGGCTACCGCGCAGGTACAGCCGGCCGGGCGGGCCCGGGGCTCTGCCGGGACCGCCGGAGGCACCGCTGGCAGGAGCTGCTTTGGCCGTGCCTTGCTCTTTGTGACCCTGCCTGGCGTGGGGACCGATGGCTGCGGCCGGTATCGCCGGTGGAACTTGCGGCCCGACCCGCTCCCTGTTCAGTCCTCTGGAGCGAGAGTAGCCATGGCAATGCACACAGGACAGCCTGCACAGAGAGGCTGCGGTGATTTCAGCCGATAAATCCATTCTAAGCCGATCGAATTAATCAACAAGGCGTCAGGAGTTCCCTTGTGTAGTGACACTGCTAACGCTTACTAGTTCTTCATTTCATTTATCAAACGTTTCACCAATAGCTTCTGTCTTTAGTCTTTTTTTCTTTGACTTGCTGTGTGAAGAACACTCCTATGTTAATATCCAGTCCACTGAAACAATTGCAAATTATTGGACATCGGGATTTCAAAAATTCAGTTTTACACGTACATATCTTGGGGAGTTGCTGTAGCAACAGCCATTGCAATACTGTCTGGCTTTTCCATTAATTTTAGCAATCCCAGCAAATAAGCATTAATTTAATTTAGGGATAGAAAAATTAATTAGAATTGGCTTATATTGCTTAAACATTCATCCAAACACAGTTTTAGAACTTGCACAGAATTTATAAATACCAATGCCATGTCAAGGAAACCTTTAACATATCTAAACATTGTGATAACAATCGAAATTGGAACTCTTGGCTTCTCTGTTTTTAAGTAAATTTTTCCTTAAGTCTAACCTTGTAGGTCCATTATAAAGTCGTAAGTACAGAATTTACTGCCCACATGTTGGAGTTTGAGACTTGCTTTTCTCTACACTGAGTGTGGTGCAGCTTGTCCTGTACAGGCCTGAAAGGATGAGCTTTAGTTTGACACATACTTGAAACTGTTATCTCTTAAAAATCAGACAAATTACCATCCAAGTGTCTGTTTAAATAAAAGGTTGAAAATGAAGAGTGGGCCATGCAAGCCTGCTCTCTAGCAGCTCTCTTGAGCTAAGCATCAGTCAGAGATTGTGGAGTAAGCTAAAAGCCACCAGATAATCAACAATTGGACACTCAGCTTGATTATATGACTAAATTATAAAAATGCTCTGTCCCAGGAGCCAAAAGGTGCCTTGGGTTCCAGGAAATTATGTAACTCCAGATAGGGTGTGAAGATTTCCTCTGGATAAATAAAAATATTTTTCTTAACATTTTATTTGACTGGGAAGAGTCAAATTGCTGCCCTGCATAAAGCTAAGATGGAGCAGTATCCTTCTGTCATACTTACAGCTGGAGTGATAAAATCTTCTTTCTCTCTGTACAGATTGTGAAATCCTTTCCAGTTTGCCACTGCAGATGTCCCTCTATTTCAATGTTTATTTCTTCCCATTTTGGTGGCTCATCACAGTTGCCATACTCTACATGAAGGTGAGAAGGAAGGAGAGTGCTGGTTTGTAAATGTATGTTACATCAAACACACCCTAGTGTGAGATTCAGCTCACTGGAGTTAGAGGCTTTTACATTGATTTGGGAATTCAGGGAAGCTGGAGGTTCAGGAGTGTTTGAATGCCAGTACTGTCAGCTGAGAGTAGCACAGAGTACCTTCATTTAATCACAGACACCACGGCAGAAACTTTTACTTTCTTCTTCCCCTCCAGTATCCAGCCTTATCAGATTATTACAAGTTCATCCTGGTCACTGTCATGATCCTGGTCTCTCTGACGGAGCTCATTCGACTCTACCTGGGATATGTGGGCAATCTCCTGGAGAAAGTAAGTTACCAGATGTACACAGTAATTTCTGCAAGAATTTCTGCTTTTGGGAGTTGAACATTAACTGGCAGGCATTTTATTTAAGAGATATAAGTTGAGGACATGGTTATTTCTCTTCAGTTGCACTCTGCATCTTCTATTCCCTTGTCATTAGCTTCCACTTAATTTTGTGAATTTCAAGTAGTTTTCCCTTAGAATAGAGCTCTCTCACTCCCTAAAATTGTTTTGTCAGAAAATACAAGTATGCTTAAAAACACAGGATATGGAAATAAGAAACCACTCCACTTTGCATTTCCACATTATGTGCTGGCTTTTGAAAAATTAAAAAGAAATGTGTTTTCTTCACAAGATTTTGGATTTTTTCATCCCAGCTGTCGGTTTTTTAATAGGTGATGTCTCCCTGTTATAGGTCCCTGAGCTGGCTGGGTTTTGGCTCCTGACTCTCCTCCCGCAGTTGCCTATAATTCTCTTCTTGCTATTTAATGAAGGTCTGAAAATCCACTCTCTGGAGCGAGCTGTCCACATCATCTTCGCCGCCTTCCTCTCCTTCCAAGTGGTGGCGGCTTTTTTCGCCCTGAAAAGGATGGTGAACACTCTGGCCGCTCGCTTCCGCCTGACCGAGTTCCACCGCCTGGAGGAGCAGCGCCCCGCGCCTGGCGCTTACGGCCTGGCCACGGGCACCCGGGGCTGGTAGGGCCCAGAGCCCCGGAGATCGCGCCCCGAGGGCCTCGGGAGGGAGCAGAGCCCGGCCCAGCGTGGCCACAGTTCTGGGTCCGTTTTCTTGGGTCGTTCTTTGCCTTCTTGCCTCAGAGGAAGTAAAAAAATAGATCTTGCTCAAGAGCCAACATTAAACCTCAGAGGATGGAGCTCCTTTCTGCAAGGAAAATCAAAGCCAATTGCATAACTGACCTGAGTGGACTGTGGGTGGACTGAGTACATTTGGAGAGTTTTTACTTGTTACAAAGTTGTGGCATTTTTTAAAAACCAGAAGCCCTTTTGCTCACTGTTCGCACGAAATTATTTTGTTTACAATAAATATTTTCTACACTTTTTTATGTTGGTACCAGTTTTGTCGGTACCAGTTTGTTTTCCAGATAAGTTGCACATATTTTGTGTCTGATACCTCAGTTAGGAAAAAAACCCAACCCAAAACCAAACTGGAAACAAAAGCCCCAAGAGGTCTTGAGGCTCAAAAAGAAGTTAGTGAGCAAAGACTACACTTTCAGAGATGGTCTTCCAGGTATTTCCAGCTCTTAGAAATTCCTCACTGCTATACTAGGCATGTAATTTCAAAGGTATTCATTCCACAAAACTCTTATGCTCATCTCCTTTGGCTTAGTTACAGTTCTAACTATCAAGTCAGAGTGGTGCAATTTTCCCAGACAGAACAGTAACAAAATTATAGTCATTAGAAAAATAGGTTTATGTCCACTGAAAGGCAGAACCTGTTTTTCCCAAGCCAGGGCAAATACCAAAGTTCTCTCCTTCCTGTTAGGTGTATTAAATTTTAGGCTATCTTCTGCAGTTTTGGTAATGGCTAAAAGTTCACTTTTTCTGTCAAGGAGTGATGGAGATCAAACATTAAAATAAATTTTTCACCAGAATCCTTTGAGACCTTTGAGCAGGGCAGGAGTTGTCAGTTTTGAAAGCTGGCACAAGCATGCAAACTGCTCAAAGGATTGGAAGGAAGATGAGTCTGACACGAAAAAGGCACATTATGCTTAAAGCTGTTGAATATTTAAAGCTTACAGAACCCCAAGTGAGAAAAAGGCATTAGCTTTTGTTTTTACCAAAATGGTTAATTGTCCTTTTAATCCATGAATGAATGGGACAATGAATTACACTAAGTTTGCTTCTTCATTTCATTATTATAAAGCTTATGTTATCAGAGCACATATCCCTTTGTTTTAAAGCCAACTACCATCCTGGACTTTTGCACAGAAAGAGAGGATTTCTCTAGGAGTCTCTAAGAGTATCTTTTACCAGTTAATATAAAACATTTAGAGCCCTGTAATCAGAGCCTGAGAGGGACACACTGAGATTTAAGGAGAAGTTACAGCATTTCAAAAATACTTTTCCAACATTAGAAAATCCTTGTCAAAACATTCTTAACTGATGCAAGGGGAACATTGGATATTTTTAATGTCAACCACAGTAACACTACAGGTGAGTGCTGAAAACAGGGCTGAAGGAAGGTTTTTAACACTAAGTACATGAAATACAACATGAAGCTGAAAAAGTCAATCATGCACCAATGCTGGCAAGAAAGAACTGGCCTCCAGGCTAAGACCATGAGGTATAACTCAAAATCCTTGCTTGTCATACACCAATGCTGGCAAGAAAGACTCCAGGCTAAGACCATGAGGTATAACTCAAAATCCTTGCTTTTAGTGATAAAGAAATGATGCATTTGGAAGATCAAATTGCCATGCAAGACAACTGTCTGGAGCCAAAGACACAAGGACACAAAGCGCTTTGGGGATGGATAAGAGGAGGGGGAAATAGAATTAAGAAAAACACTGTTTAGAAGTAGAGTTGTCTGGAAATGGTAAAGGTAGAAATTAGCCTGTAAGGTAAATCTTCAGCAACATGTTTGATAAACACAAGATCTCTACCTACACTCTGCTCAGGCTTCCTAACAGATCTGCTGGTCTATTTTTAATTTCATAATTTTCAGTTTTAATTTCACAATGAAACTTCCCTTCAGTTTCCAAATTTCACAGAAACTGGTGACACATCAAGCAAGCAGAAAAAAAATACACAAGGAGAACATGACAATTTAAGATTCAGCAGAGCAAGTATGTGGGCAGCGAGGGGGGTTGGTGGTTTTCCTCACCTCTAGAGAACAGATGGAAACCAAAATGAAAGGAAGGAACTGAAAACCACTGGAAACACATGGGAGT